TGTTGTTCGTGCGAGAATGGGAGTGTCTAAAGAATCTATGAGATTAATAAAAGTATCTCTATTGAGCTTTTTATGATGATCCTTACCGGGTCCTCCTATAATCACGTAGTGTATACAGATTATATATAAACAAGATCAAATAGACCTTCGAATAAGTGATCCTACTCTAAGACCACAACCAAACAAGGAACAGGAAGTAGGGCGAAGATCACAAATCCTACGTCTATAAAATCTTAATTATATCTAACCCTGGGAGCATACACTCCGCAATTATAGACCTACCAGTAAGGGTCTTTTAGTTTTCACATAAGTTAGTTATAGTGCCTAAAATACTCCTATAGTATTTTAATTGCATGTTTAATTCTAGAGCTTCTTGGTATACGAAGTTGATAAGTTTTTAGACATGTTGTTATTGTATAGTATCATAAAATACTCCTATAGTATTTTAAACTTTATGTTTGGTTCTAGTATTCCTTTGTATATACAGTTGGTAAGTTTTAGACTTGTTGCAACACCATTATCACTCCCAAACACATGTTGGCCGTATCTCAAATAAATATAGTTGATCAGGTTATATTTATTCCAAATATGATTACATATTTGTCTTGGTTTGACTGTAGTGTCCAAGATCTAAATACTTTTGTTTTGTTCTTCTTGTGATACTTTCGTAGTATATATATATTATATATATATATATATATATAATATATATATATATATATATTATATATATATATATTATATATATATGCACATCTGTATACTTTTTATAAAAATATTAATATATTTTAAAAGTACAATTCTTGGTCAGAGTGTTTTTATCCCATTGTGTGTATAGTTGTATATCTTTTATGAGTTGATATACTTAGTTCACTATAAACAATGCTCTGATACCAATCTGTCATACCCCCAAACCGGAACGGCGGAAAAGTTCGGGGGCGGAGGACGTCATGTATAGTATCACAACAATTGTATAATAGTAATGAAAACAACAACCATTGTATTAATAATATAGTGTTTACATTATATTCGAATCACATATGATTGACTCCAAAAGTAAATAGCAAAACAAAGACTTGAAGCTACTATGCTCCGTCTTCTCGAAACTTGTGCGTGTACCTGTCTACTATTTTCCTGAGAATACAAGTGATTTTGAAAGTGTATCAACATTTAAGTTGGTGCTTTTATAAGCATTTTTGTTATAGAATGTCTATTCTTTGTTCTTTGAAAATGTTCATGTGTTCCTCTAGAAAATCCTATATTTTCTTAGTAAGAAATGTGACCATACTAGTTCCTTCTATGATCACTTAGTTTATACTAGCTATATATAAATTAATATCGAACGGATAGTTGAATGTGTGGATCTGCCCTAAGCCCACAACCAAACAAGGAACAGGAAGTAAGACGGAAATCACACATTCCACTGCCTATCAGATATTATTTATATATAACTCTGGTGTATAAGCTAAGGAATCATAAAATTAACAATTAAGGGTCCTTTATGTTATAATAGTTTGTAAATAAGTGTTGAACCTTTTGTAAATATGTTCCTAGTTCCACACGCTCTACTGTAAAGTATTGTTTTTAGTAAGTAATCATATTTGTTTCCAGAAAGTTGAGTTGTAAACTGTTTGCTTGTAAAAATAGTTATGTTTATCCTGGAAAATCCTATATTTTCCATAAAACCGAATTGCAGTCTTAAACGTTCCAAGACCGAAGAGTACAAGTATAATTGTCATACTTAGTTTGATGATACCTAGTTTTGTTTATAAGTAAAACTAGTTGAAGATGTGTTTGCCCTGTAAACTAGATGCGATGTTAATACCCTCCTATGATCACTTAGTATATGCGAGTTGTATAAAATCGAGATCGAACAGACAGTGGAATGGGTGAATCTGTCCTAAACCCACAACCAAACAAGGAACAGGGAATAAGGCGGAAATCACACAATCCACTGTCTACCGGACATTAATTTTATATAACACTGATGTATGTGCTAAGTAATCACAGATTTAATACCCCTTAAGACTGTTTAGAAAGTATATTACTACGTAAATGTGTCGTTGTTTTCTCCATGTGAGTTCTTATAACCATACTAATATGACGGATGGCCTGATACGACGTTCTTCAGGCGTCGGAATCGTTAATGATATTTGTCACCCCAGAACTTCCGTTCCAATTGTAGCTAACAGTCAGGGTGCGGGATTGTCAGTCCCGTATAGATCTATACACAAACTCACGCTCTCCCTCCAGGAGACTCTGGTTATTAAGTCAGGACTTGATTGATACTTAGGTAAGTACGTGAAGACGTCTCACAAATTGATTCAACGAGTTTATGAGTAATAAGTGAAAAACCTTTTGTTAAATAACATGTAACTTTTCTCTAGAAAGGTCACGATGATAGATATTGTGAAAAGACTCATAAATTATACCTATTATAATTTATATGTTTGTGTTGGTATTGTTATCTGACTTAGTAAAAATGGTATATAAGTTCCTTAAACTATACCTATTATAGTTCACATGACAGCAATAAAATATTTAAGAAAGGTAGCTTTTTGCTCGGCATGTTACAAAAGGGTTACAGTTTTATTTCAATAAGTTATATATATATATATATATATATATATATATATATATATATATATATATATATATATAATTTAGATTAAAAAGGCAGTCGGACAAGTGATTCTTCCCTAAGCCCACAACCAGACAAGGAACAAGAGTTAAGGCGGAAACACCAGTCCTAAGCCTAATGAATCTTAATTATATATATATATATATATATATATATATATATATATATATATATAAACATATATTTTTAAGATAAATAAGAACGTAAATAATTTTAAATAGCTTGAAAGGGTTTGAAGCAGTTTGAAATAATTAAAAATCTTAACACAAGATTTCTTGTGTTTTAATTATATTCCCCCCTTGAAAACATTGAAAAAGATTGGAAAAATATGTGGGTAACCTCGAACGTGTGTGCTTGGTTGAGTAGCGAGGTACTAACGATGATCATCGGATTAGAATACGTGAAAATCGTCATATCCTAATAATATTTATACACGATATCGTATTTAAATTAATAAGATATTAATTTAAATAATAAATTAAATAAGGGTTTAAATAATAATTAAAGTGTTAGACAACACTTTAATTATGCAAGAATACTTACAAATAGCCTTAGGAATTAATTGGAGGAATTTTAGGCGTTTTCGGTGTGCAAGGTGGGTTTTCGGTTGGAGGCTTGAAGATTTGAAGATATTGATGAATGTTCTTGGTGTTCTTGGTGAAAATAAGAAGATTTGGGCAAGAATTCTATGAATTTATGATGTTTACGGAAGATACTTTAGAGCAAAATGGGAAGTGTTTGCGGTGTGAATTGTGAGAAATGAGGAGTGTTTACGGATGAATATATATATATATATATATATATATATATATATATATACAACGAAGTTCATGTGAAAAAAAAAGATGTGAAAATGCAAGAACCAATCAAAATTGGACACATGTGATAAATATTTTAATTTTTGAATTATAAAAAAGTGTTGATTAAAATATAAGGGCAATAAAGTAATTATATATTATGGAATGTAATCGTGGGTAGTAACTAGATTAAGGATTTTGAATTTCAAATTTCTAGATAATGGCTTTTGAATGTCGAAGAACTTTAGTAACTTCCCAAATCCTGGAGCGTGAATATAATCGGAATATATTTTCGACAAGAACAAAGAAGTTGTCTTATTTGGAGGTATGTAAATATTTTCGAATTAGATGTTTGCGTTTAAAGCGATCTTGGATGCTAGTTCAAGTAGGAAAATGGTTAATACACAAAGGAAAAAAAAAGGTTTTGCAAATGGAATTTGAAGGAAATGTTAATCGGAACTTAAACTCTGTTGATAACCCAATTGAAATTGAAGATGACGAAGAATCGGATGACGATTGTTCGTTGATCATTTACTTATCCAGAAAAAGTTAATCGATGAAGGTTTGTGGTTTATACAAAACGTTTTAGTTTTTTTGATCAAAACTTTTTGGTTTTAAATTTATATTTTGTATCAGATATGAAGAAGACAATTGAGATACATTCAAGTGGTTCTGTGAAGATTGAGAAAGATGACGAAGAAATTTCAGATGACTTTTTTGTGTCGGATATAAAAAATCCAATTGAGATACATTCTAGTGGTTCTTCAAAGATTAAGAAAGATGATGAAGAAATTTCCGATTGTGTTTTGTATAATATACATAGTCAGGGGGAAAAAATTGATGAAGGTATGTGGTTGATAAATAACTTTTTACATTTAATTTTAAATAAATTTAAGTTGTTTTATATTTATAACTATTGTCAGATCTGAAGAATACAGTTCGGATACATTCGGGTAATTCTTTGAAGATTAAGAAAGATGGACATCAGATTAAAAAGTCAATGTCTAATGTACAAAAGAAGAAAAAAAAAGAGTGTATACGGTAATATATATTCATTAACATTTGAAGGTCCCGGTTACATATTTTTTATTATTGTATTTTTTTGGTTATGTTTTGTAGGTTTAAATGATTTTTCAAGTGATTCTGATTACGAAGAGGCGAGTATTAAGGGTTTTAAGAAGTTCATAGTCAAATCTGATAGAAAATTTATTAAAAAAAAGCTGGTAAATCTGGGAATGTGAAATCTTTGTATGCTCGCGTGTCTCTTAATTCTCTTTATGGGGCTGTCAATTCTATGAATCAGATCCAAAAAGACTGTGTAAGAAGAATAGGATTTAGGTCATTGCTTGATATGAAGACTCAAAGTATACCAACAAAATTATGTTACTTTGTTGTGGATTCTTTTGATCATGAGGAGATGGTGGTTAAGAGTGTTGTTGGAAATATTGTTGTAAAAAGAGAAGAGGTGAATAGGGTTCTAGGTTTGCCTTTGGGTGTTGAGCAGATAAGTTGTCTAGGTGTTCGTGGCAATGAGGATTGGTTTGAAATGTGGAAAGAGCAATTTAAAAAACCATTGTCATTAGTAGTTCCTTCTGATTTGGTGGTTCCTGATCAGAAATACTAAGTCTATGATTATGAGAACAAAGACTTTCTTCATTAAATTCAGTAAGTGGATGGTTGTGTGCTTCTTCAAATGCATATACAGTAATTGTATTTGTTCTATAATCTCTGTCAAAACCAATGGATGTAAGAGTATCAATGGATTTTTTTCTTGGTTGTCCATATCTCTTGCATCTTACATGTTTTTTTCTTAGACTGTAGTCACCATATGTAGTTGTTGATCCTAATCTAATTCCAAAACCAACAGCTTTTCTATATGTTCGATACATTTCAATTCCTTCATCTATAGTTGACATAGTTTGTCCTTTTTTAGAAATCAAATCTGCTGGAACATTTGGATGATACAGTTCTTCTTTATCTATGGTTGATTTTCCTGTCAAAATTTCAAAAAGCTATATATTGAAGTTTATATATATAAATATATATTTAATATAAAGTATGAAAACTTGCCCTTATAATTTTCGTTTATTGTTGATTGTGAAGTCCCAATTGCAGAATCATTGAAAGATGTAGTTGCTTCATGGAACAAATAAGAAGAAGATAAGGATTTAAAAGATTGCGTAATCATCTATTTCAATTGTTAGTATATTCTTTTAAATTCAATCAATAATATATAATAAAATAATGGTTGAAAACTTGCCTTTATCACCTTCGGTATCTTCACTTAACGTTGATTCTGAAATTTCAATAGCTGAACATTTGAAAGATTTATGCCCTTCATGATTTAAATCATAAGAAGATGACTTTTCAAATTCTTGCATAAACATCTTTTCAAATGGTAATTAAATGTTTTTAAAAGCAACGATTATCTTTTTCAATCTAAGAATAAATGTTAGAAGAAAAAACAATCCAGTTAAATTCGTAAAGATTAATGCGTTCATACAATAAGAAGTTATCGCTAAAGCAGTTAATGCACACGGTTAGTAATTTGTAAACTGATTCCATTCCTTTTTCAATAAATTACTTATATACCCTTTTTAAATAATTTAAATAAACAAAAATTTATAAAACATAACTAATGATGTGTAGCATTCTTATTGGTTCTCGCATTTTCGCATATTCTTTGCGTTTTCGCATATTCTTCCCCTATATATATATATATATATATATATATATATATATATATATATATATATATATATATATAACAAGGTGTTTACGGCCATAAAGGGCCTTGGCTATTGGGTTTTCGGTCCTTAATGGACTTTACAAGGAGATTTCGGTCCTTATGATTGTGATTTCGGTTCCATGAGACCAAAATCTCCATGTTATTTGCTTTACCAACTGAAAAATCATTTGATATTATAATCCTTGGCCGAAAACTACTTTTGATTAGATTCTTTGGACCGAAATCTATTACTTTTTTTTTATTCCTAGACCGAAAACTCCAATGTGGGGTGTTATTCCATGGTTTTAAGTTTAACCTTTTGCCTTATGTTATTTTATACCAACCTAAATTAACTTAGGTTTCATACCATGCTTAGTTACTAGTTTATAATCATGCCCCTAAGGTTATAGATGATACAATGCAACAAGGATTGCAATGTGGTTTCACTTGTACTAGGTTAGGGTTTAGACTTTGTTGGGTTTAAAATTTTTGGGTTGTTACAAAAACTACTGACCCCATTCTGAAAGTTTTGAAGCCACTACAAAAGGGAAGCTTCAGTAAGCTGAAGCTGAGGCTGATGAGGAGTATTATCTTTTTCAAGCTTCTGGCATTTCATCGGAGAATCATCATCAACAACCACAAATTGTGGAGGTTTCTCAGGATTAATGTGTCTTTTACTAGATGACAATGATTCGTCTTGTTCTTGTGTTCCATTAAACTGTTGTTTGGGAGTGGGAAATGGAATAGCCTCAGTTGACATCCCAAGTTCATCCATTGTCAACAATGCCTTGATATGAAAATACTCTACCTGTTCCAGACATCTTCTCAATCATATCCATAATTCCATATACATTTTTATTTATGCAAGTATAAACATACCTCTTCTGGTAGCTCGTCTTTGATAGGTTTGGTGTTCTACATCTGTATGCACTTGCACGTCCTCCCCATCATGCTCTGACTAAAACAATAATAAAAATTCAATTTAATTTTTTTTTATGTATGATATTATGATGCCATTAGGGCTTTCACATACCTGAAGTGTTCTTGTTATATTGACTTTTGGTCCCAGCCAAATCTTGCAATATGAAAGAGAATTCTATGGTACCTATAACCAACACATTTATTCATTTCAATGTTTTATATTTTTAACATAAAAATATTGGTTTAACCATTAATACATGATCTTTTCTAATCAAACCATAAAAGTTTCCAAATTAACCATTTTGACCTCTCATATCAGCTTTCATCCGTAATTTTGTTATATAAGTTTTCACCAGTGATTTCCTTCCAAGTTATAAATGGTTAATTTTGAAAGATGTCAGAAACTTTTATGGTTTAATTGAAAAAAATATAAAGTATAAGTGGCTTAACCGCAAAATTGACCAAAATATAATGGTCTTTCAGTAAATTTCTTTTAATTATTTCCCATCAATAACCTGATCTTGCTCTACCTCTATCGGATCATAGAAGTATATCATTTTTTGCCAATATCAATAAAATAATTTCTCTTTAATATATCAAATCAAATATTAAACAAAAAAATACAAAATTGAATTAGTTTATATTACCTGTTGCCAATGTGTGGGTGGATCTTCGGGTGCAGTGGAAAGAACAAGGGCTTCATTGGGATTCGCACGCTTCCTTCTAGGGTTTGACTTTGTTGACTCTGATGATGGTGCATCGTTGTCAGCAGCGGGCCCACAGAACTCCACATCAAACCAAAATGCAAATCCATGAAAAGGAGCTGAAATAAATGAGTTTCTTTTATGTTATAGGATGAATAATCACAGATATATTTATAAATTATGAAATGAAGTTTTACCTCGCATCATGGATTGAAATTTGAAGTTTGTGGTAACAGATTCCAGTTCTTGAAGTGTGATTGTATAGCAATCCACGTGTTTTACCTGTTTGTTTCCACCAACAACAATTTTCATATATTCTTAATTTCAAAAAAGGTATATATGGAATTTTTATTTTTATTTTTTATTTTTACTAACCACATGTGGCCATGTGAGGACATTCTCTCCACTGATGGTCTCAACAGATGGTTCTTCAAAGGCACATTGTTTAATTTACTAGACATGGAATACTTACCCATTGGACTTTTCACAATAGACATTACATTAAAAGGTCCATTACCTACAATACAACCACCATTAAAAAAAAGGTAAAGTTGGTTGATATTTTTTTTAGCAATTTACCAAACTGACCTCATAATAATGTTCTTCCCTAAGTGGCTCAAAAACCAGCTCATTCAGACCTCTTCTGGTCTGCTTGAACCTTACCAGGGTTTCTAGCACTCACGTCTACACGCACCTGAGTTCAAATCAGTAAAAAACATTAAGCCACAAGGGTAAAATAGTAATTTTAAAAAACATAGGGGAAAAGGACAGAAGACTAACCAGTGAAAATAGATAACCAATGGCATCAACTTTAATGTCCGTTACCTTATGTCAACAGTTGTAAAAAGCAAAGCTCCCTTGTCAAAAATAACCCTCGATAACAACTGATACCATTCCCTAGTAAGTCCACCTGATATCATTCGCAACTGATTATACGAATCTTCAAGAATGTATGCCCTGAGAAAGCAGTGACGTGAGTTCCTGCAGTTTGACCAAACATGAAAATAGTCAAAATCATACGATCTCAATCCTTTGTATTAGCCTCAACAATCTTGTTCCTCATAAGTCATGTTGTCAAGATTAACATTGTCTTCCCACACAACCTATAAAATTATAGACATGTAACCTTGTTATAACTTATAACACATAATCTTAAAAGAAAAGAGTTTATAATGAGAAAGCTTTAGACCTGATGATGATCACCATGATTGTGATTAGGATTATGATTATGATTACTTTGTGAATCTGAAAGTTTGCATACGAAAAAGTTAGTTTTGGGGTTTAGTATAAAACCATTTGAAAATAGGAAAAAGAATTCAATGCTTACTATCTGAAGGATTGGTGTGGGAATTGGAGGTTGAATGTCCATTTTGTTGCATATGTACATATGTACTTCTTTCATTAGCCATGGTTGAAGTATTTTCTAATTGTCTAGTGAATCCATTTTTCCCATATATTGGATCATTGATTGCATAAGCATTAAAATAACCATAGTATGAGAAATTCCCAGGTTCTGAATATGCAAAATTGTATGAACTGGTATTCATTGTATAGTTTGTGCTATCCTGTATCGACATGTGAATAAGTAAGTTACTTGGTTCCTCAAATTTTCACATAAACCATAATGAACAAATTACACATAATAAAGAAGGTAAAGGTTATGTCTAGATGATTACCTGAGGATATGTAACATCAGAAAAAATGAAATTGACATGCTCATATGTAAGTCCTTCAAAGAAATCCATTAAGTTTCCACTCAAACTATGGAGGATGTTGAATTCAGTTTGTAGATGCCAGTTCATTCATGAATTCCCCTTTATTTAACAAGAGTATTTCTTAAACAAATTGACATCAATTTTCCAATCATTCTTCGATGAGTATACAGTATACTAGCATATCAACAGGAGTAAATGCAAATCCTACAAAAGAAACATTGTCCCTGGGTTAAATCAAACTACTATAATCTGTTCAAGTCATCAATACTCTGATTTAATCAGCATCATCAAGCAAAAATGTACAAAAGGCTCTCTAATTCGCTATTGTAATACAATAAATAACATATGAATAAAACCAAACCATTCAGAGTTTTCTCGAACCGCTCAAGACAAGATTAAAGAAGGCATACAGGAAGTTTTCTCTGCAAATCTATATGAAGAATGAATACAGTGAACTTTTTGTACAATAAGACAATATATATCCTTTTTATTTATCTATCAACCACACTTACATCAAGACACGAGACATATATATACATACTTTTGGTAACTGCCATATGACAGTTACTTTCCAAAGGACACAACTGTTGACCAAATTCTAACCATTAATTTAATCCTAATAAATACCACTTAATAATAATTTATATAAACATTAACATAACTAACATTTAAGAGACACTAACTAACAATCTAGGCTAATTTCTAACTCTCTAAACAGTGAAGGAACCCTACCTTATATTAACCATTAAGAGGTTGTAAATATGTAGAGCATAAAAATGAATCTAACTACAAAATTGAACAAATTAAAAGCTTCGTAAATCAAATTATAGAAAATATCTTTAGAATTGAAGAAAAAAATTTAGTAAATAACCTACCTGAGCAACTTTGTAAGAGTTTATAGTAGCATCTTCTGATTTGTTCACTTTGATTTTTATTCGATCAACTTTTTCTCCAAACCTTATTAGCTGTTGGTACCGATTTTAGGGTTTCACATAAAACAGGAAAAGGGTGGTGATGCAGGAGATAATAGGGTGGCGGTGGATGGTAGCAATGGTGGTGACGGTCGATTGTGTTGAGGTTGCAGGTGGTGAGATGTAGGTACGATGGCCATGGTGGTGGTGCAATGATCGTGGTGGTCTGCACCATGGAGGGGAACTGTTGAGAGAGAGAGAGAGAGTTTGTGTGTGTGTGAGTGAGTGAGAGAGAGATAGAGGGAGAGAGATGGTGGTGAGTCTGATCGAGGTGGATTAAGGTAGAGGGGAAATGGAATCGCCGACGAGGTGAGGCGAGTGAGAGGTGGGCGTTCGTGTGGAATGAGATTTTATGAAAAAAAGCCCTAGACTTGGACGCCATTTTGTAATTGAGGATAATGGACGCGCGTTTGGTAAAATAATTATAAAACGATGCCTCTACACGACACACATATTTGATAGGTAACCTCAGTGTTTTAATTTTTTTTATTATGACGCTATTTTTAGGACACTCAAACATGCGTGTCCTAAATCCTTCAAATTTTAGGAGAGATGACATTATTTTTAGGATACGCACTTTTGCGTATCATAGATTACTGCGTGTCGTATTTTGCGCGTCATTAAAGGCCTATATTCTAGTAGTGATATATAAAATAATATGATAACGCCATAAATATATGTATAAAATAGACGTTATTAGTATGTATGGCAAAATAATATAATATATATATATATATATACATATATATATATATATATATATATATATATATATATATATATATACAATAATTATGAAATCTAAAAATTATAATTATCAAATATAAAGTAAAAGATTTATATTGTGATAGTTATAGAAAATCATTCAGTAAGAAAGATAAAGATAAAAGACCTAAGGTTAAGGTGTTAGTGAGTTTTATCCTTAGCATGATTAAATTCGGCTACCCATAACCGATAAACCTATCAAAGATATCAAAGCAAAGATAATTATTATATATAAGGTTTAGTATATATATGGATAATTATAGAAAGAAATTATATCAAAGGAAATTATAATTACCTCGTTACTCCTCGCTGGTTAGACATTATGTTGCCATTCCGCCAATTTTGTTTTGTCAAAAATATCAATTTAATAAAATTAAGTAGTAAACAAATTAATAAAGCAAAAAGGTATGTAGATTAAGACTGAATGGTATTCCCGAATTAATCTGGCATACAGAAGATCCTTAATCACTAAAAATAGAAGTATTGTTTACGCATACATATGTCACACCCCCAAGCCGGAACGGCGGAAACGTTCGGGGGTGGATGACGTCATGTATAGCATCACAACCAATGGATAATAGCAATCATAGCAACACAAACCATTACAGTGAATACTTAAATGAAAATGATTACACCAGTTTGGAACTTTGTCTGAAACTTGTTTGAATTACATCAAATAGTTTGTAAAATATAAACATAAAACTCTTATTGCTCCCGCTCCTCAAAAATCCAGCAGGTACCTGCATACTGATTTCCTGAGAATACAAGCAGTTTGAAAAATATCAGCATAACGATGGTGAGTTCATAAGCGGTATTTTGTAATGAAAACTTGTTGATGAGCTTGTAAAGGTGTTCGTATAGTTTTCAAGAAAATCCGATATTTTCTTTAGTGAAAATGTAGTGTTTTCAATTCTGTATAAAACCATGAATGTTCGTTACTGAAAACTGTAGTGGTATGCGGAAATAATACTTCATGTGACTAGCTAATGTTAATCATGATGTATAAGTATTTCGTACGTGAAACCATTGTATGATCGATTCTGTTTGAAAACCCTGGAAATTCTCCAGTTGTAGTTTGTATTAGTTCTATTTAGTATAAATAAAACTGTTGAAGAGTACCAACTTGCAAACTAAAGGTGATTTATACATATTGTGAGTCGTATAACCATACTTGATATAACTAGAGACCTTTCCAACGTTCTTCAGGCGTTAAGTTAAATGACATTTGTCACCCCACGCATGCCTGCCTAACTGTAGCTAGCAGTTCAGGTGTGGGATTGTCAGTCCCGAATAGATCTATTCACAAATCTCATGCTCTCCCTCCAGGAGACTCTGGTTATACTATGATATGATTTATCCCTGTACACCTGGTTATACTATGATAGGATTTATCCATGTACACCTAAGGGTACAGTGTTGAAGTAGAGCCTCACAGTATCGTACAATCTAGTTTACATGTGGTGTTGTAGTGTTATACCATAGTGAAATCCATATGTATACCGTATGTAGTGACAATTACTGTTATGAAATACCATGTTCATGTTGTGATGTAAACTATAATTAAATATGTCATATATGTTTAGTAGTGAAGGTTTCTGTACTTGTTATGTTTCGAAAATCCCAAACTATACCGATTATAGTTTGCATGTATAGCGTAGTGAATATCGAGTCCGGAAAACTATACAATTTAGTGATAAGTTGAAAAACTTCCCTTATGCTGAACATAGCACAAAAGGGTTAAAGTATGAGAATTGCATGAGTTTTATACTTGTTAAAAGCTCTTTGTATTAGTTCACAAAAGCATTTATGTTTGGCTTGCATTCCCCCTGAAAACGTTTTAAAAACCAGTAAAAGCGTAGGGGTATGAACTCACTGTTATTGTGTGAAAATGTCGGCTGGAAACGAAGATCCTCAGGTTGTTGCACGTGACACTTAACGGAATCCTATTATCAAATAAATACATATATGTATCTAAATTAGCGATTTCGTTAGATAAAGTGTTAGAAAAACACCTGTTTTCGGTTAAGAAATGTTACCGGGACTTGATCGAATCGAGGAAAGTGGGTTTTCAGCCAAAAGCACCACTTAAAAAAAGTGTTTACGGCCGTGAACTGTTTACGGCCTTTGAAGATTCGATGAATTTACGGTCGAGAACGAGTTTACGGTCTTTGAAGTTTGACCGTAAACGGGTTTACGGCCTTTGAAGATTGGCCGTAAACTCAAGAACAAGGGTGCTGATTTCGAAGAGAAAAGTGCTCTAGACGTCCCGAAATGACTCCAAATGGTGTTTCTCGATGTTTTCCCGAAGATTGAAGGTGTTTTTAGGTGTTTACGGTCAAGGTTTTTTAGAGAGAGAAGGAGAGAGTTTTCGGCCAGCAATGTTCAAATGAGGGTGGGGGTCTCATATTTATAGGGGTCTTGTGGTCGGTGGTGGTGTAACAATTGGCAAAAATCAGTCCAAGATTTGTCAGTCAATCATCCCGAATATTATTATAATAAAAGCTATTGTGTATTAACCGGTATTATTATAAATAATTTAAGTCATTATTCACCTATTTGCGATTAAATCCTTTATACTCAAGTGAGATCAATATTTTATATTTAAGTTTCATAATATCTTAGGATAAACGAAATCAAACAAATGGAAATGATTGAGTCGGAACCTAATTAAAGTGAAACTTGAACGATATTTCACGAATTGCCGGAAAAAGGAAATCATTTCCGGTTACGCTTTTGAAATCATTACGAGTAACGATTATGTATAAGATAATCCCAGTGGATAAAATCATTTTCTAAAATTAGACTACAAAAATGCTTATAAGAACGTATTTATGCAAATATGGGTATGAATCACGTATCTTAAAATCAATTATAACATATTTAACGAGTGAATAACTTGGGTACAAAAAGAATAAATAATATATAAAAAAACCCTTCGAATAATGATATGTACGTATGAATAAACAATAGTCAGTTATAATTTCTCATTCCCCTCTGGTTAGCTTCACTCTCACATTCCCACATGCAAAAATTGAGGAATTAAGTTTTGTACTTCTAAACTCCTTATTAGATTGCATCATAATAGTATCTTTCTCAAAAACTTCCAGAACATACATGTAGAACATGGTAGGATGGTCCCACTTGTCACTCACCTCATCCTTCTCTCTTCCTACTCCATACTTTACTCCATACTTCTCAGTTCTCACCATACACAAACATTTTTCATACGATTTATCTTGGGGATCACTCAAAAAAAAAATCGTACTCTCATATCTCAATTGATTTACAATAGTATAAAGAAATCTCAAAGAAATTTGCTCAAATAATCTATCCTACAGCTGATTTCATTCAACCAAAACACCTTCTTTCCTCTTGAATACTCTCTCTCTCTCTCCCTTTCCTCTCTATCTCTCTCACCTGCATTCTCACAAATACCTCACATGCTTGATATCTTTGGAACTATTTCAAATGTACTTCCACATCTTCATTCGATCATCAAATTGCACAAGAAATCTGATCAAATATCTCACCACTGAATTCATTTTTTTGATAACACTCTTCACACTCCCCCTTCATCTTCTCAACTCCCTCTCTCTCGTGTTCCACTAGATCACAGAAAAACCCAGAAACAACCGAAGTGGTTGCCTTCTTCAACCCAACCTCTCGTCTTCCTTCCATTTTAATGGCAGACTGACCCGATAACCATCAAACCACCGCCATGGCCAGTTGAAGCAAGCCTCCGATCGCAAACAGGACCGTCGACACTACTCACTGGAGAAGAAGAACCGGCGACAACCACTATTTACCCTCCTGCTTCATCTCTTTTCGACCCTCAAGCAGTTGCTCGTTGTTCTTCCTTACTCCTCCATTGATCTCAGGTAACCGTCTTTCTTTTCTGTTCAGAACACATTCAAAAATCTCGAAGAACAGTCACCACCTGCCATGGTGGCCGGTGGCATGAACAGTTCCGACGAGATAATCCCGATGATGGGTTCGGTCCTAAACAAACATATATAGTTTCCTTATTCCGTTACCTTTCTGTTTCGAGGTGTATAGGTCGACTCCAAGAATCCCGGAGCAAAACCCGCTCAAAACTCAATCTTCCCGACACTTCCCGACTCTCGCTACTAACGTGAGTCTCCATGGCCCCTTTTTACTTTGTTAAACAATTATGGGGGGGAATACACACATGCATATGATATTACAGGTTCAAACTATAAGAAATTGCATGGATTCATAAAATTTTAATGTTACATTTATTACTTATATGACACTTTTAAACATATTGTGACAGTTTTTGTGTCGCATAAAAGCTTTTATCCACAAAAATACATTATTCACGTAAAATGGAGTTATGAACTTCTTACCCTATAAAACTTGATGTACTTATTATTATATCAAAATGAAACA